GTGCGGCGTTAAACAAAACTCACTCACCCACTCAATCATTTTGAGTCACGAACTGGTGGTTGATGGTGGGACAACCACTGATGTTGTCGAGTACGACGTTGACAAAACAAGAGTGCTAATGGCCACCTGATTCTCATTTGTGTCAGTTCCGTAACTGCAAGAAACACGGATACGGGCGGACTTTTGTGGCTTTGCATTTCTATGACACTGAACAATATAGTTGTTCTGTTTTTTCTCTAAAGGTAGCATTACAACTGTAGAAAAATTGAATTTTGGCAAGATAAAATCGATGGCTTCAGGGGAGACCAACACGCAATCTACCATATCACGGGGGCTCACCATAACATATTGTATGTTAGGATGAGAGAGCCACAATAACTCGGTGCACCTAGTGGCAGCAAGAGTTGTATACTCCCCGGGGAATTGAGATTGATAATACGTTGTGCCGTTGAGATTGACATCCAATGATCGAGGGAAAGAATACCAGCGCCTTGAGCATGCACTAGTTGCGTGGATATGTGCGCTATATGATTAATCCTATAATAATATCATATCTTACCAGCAATAGAATTGAACTTGTGCTTCAACCCATGTCGCACATTGCATCATAGTATTTCTGTTTTGATATTTATGTCGAAATGGTGTTGTTGAAATATTAGCAATAAAATATTTATTATAATACTTTTTATTAAGCATGTAGAGATATAAGTGTTTTAATGTTAATGTTGAATCATATTGGAAAATATGATGTTGAACCGTTCATCATAAACTATTTATGATGAAATATTAAGGTATGTTAAAATATTAGCATTGTCCTAATAACGTGGAAATATTAATGTTGAACGTCTAATACTGGTGGTGTGTGGTCCTGTGCATAGAGCTCAGGTCGCAAATCAGTTGAAGTTAAGGACCGTTGGGCACGGAGAGATCTTGGATGGGTGACCGTGTTTGGCAGCTTGACTCCTGAGAGTTTGTAGGACTTCAGTCCTGCCCCACAACAAAGTTGTCATGCAGAGACATGACTGGAGATCCTGTCACACAGAGACATGACAGGAGATACTGTCACACAGAGACATGACTGGAGATTCAGTCATACAGAGACATGACTGGAGATCCTGTCAGACAGAAACATGACTGGAGATACTGTCATACAGAGACATGACTGGAGATACTGCCATACAGAGACATGACTGGAGATCCTGTCACACAGAGACATGACTAGAGATACTGTCACACAGAGACATGACTGGAGATACTGTCAGACAGAGACATGACTGGAGATACTGTCACACAGAGACATGACTGGAGATACTGTCACACAGAGACATGACTAGAGATCCAGTCACACAGAGACATGACTGGAGATACTGTCATACAGAGACATGACTGGAGATACTGTCACACAGAGACATGACTGGAGATCCTGTCACACAGAGACATGACTAGAGATACTGTCAGACAGAGACATGACTGGAGATCCTGTCACACAGAGACATGACTGGAGATACTGTCACACAGAGACATGACTAGAGATCCTGTCACACAGAGACATGACTGGAGATACTGTCATACAGAGACATGACTGGAGATACTGTCACACAGAGAAATGACTAGAGATCCTGTCACACAGAGACATGACTGGAGATACTGTCATACAGAGACATGACTGGAGATACTGTCACACAGAGACATGACTGGAGATCCTGTCAGACAGAGACATGACTAGAGATCCGGTCACATGGAGACATGACTAGAGATACTGTCAGACAGAGACATGACTGGAGATCCTGTCACACAGAGACATGACTGGAGATACTGTCATACAGAGACATGACTGGAGATACTGTCACACAGAGACATGACTGGAGATCCTGTCAGACAGAGACATGACTAGAGATCCGGTCACATGGAGACATGACTAGAGATACTGTCATACAGAGACATGACTAGAGATACTGTCATACAGAGACATGACTAGAGATACTGTCATACAGAGACATGACTAGAGATACTGTCACATTGAGACATGACTAGAGATACTGTCACACAGAGACATGACTGGAGATACTGTCATACAGAGACATGACTGGAGATGCTGTCAGACAGAGACATGACTGGAGATACTGTCATACAGAGACATGAGTAGAGATCCTGTCACATGGAGACATGACTGGAGATACTGTCATGCAGAGACATGACTAGAGATACTGTCATACAGAGACATGACTAGAGATACTGTCATACAGAGACATGACTAGAGATACTGTCACACAGAGACATGACTGGAGATACTGTCACACAGAGACATGACTGGAGATACTGTCATACAGAGACATGACTAGATATACTGTCACACAGAGACATGACTAAAGATACTGTCATACAGAGACATGACTGGAGATACTGTCATACAGAGACATGACTGGAGATACTGTCAGAGACATGACTAGAGATACTGTCATACAGACACATGACTAGAGATACTGTCATACAGAGACATGACTAGAGATCCTGTCATGCAGAGACATGACTGGAGATACTGTCATACAGAGACATGACTGGAGATACTGTCATACAGAGACATGACTGGAGATCCAGTCATACAGAGACATGACTGGAGATCCTGTCATGCAGAGACATGACTAGAGATCCTGTCATGCAGAGACATGACTAGAGATCCTGTCATGCAGAGACATGACTAGAGATACTGTCATACAGAGACATGACTGGAGATACTGTCATACAGAGACATGACTGGAGATACTGTCATACAGAGACGTGACTGGAGATACTGTCACACAGAGACATGACTGGAGATGCTGTCAGACAGAGACATGACTAGAGATCCAGTCACACAGAGACATGACTGGAGATACTGTCATACAGAGACATGACTGGAGATACTGTCACACAGAGACATGACTGGAGATCCTGTCACACAGAGACATGACTAGAGATACTGTCAGACAGAGACATGACTGGAGATCCTGTCACACAGAGACATGACTGGAGATACTGTCACACAGAGACATGACTAGAGATCCTGTCACACAGAGACATGACTGGAGATACTGTCATACAGAGACATGACTGGAGATACTGTCACACAGAGAAATGACTAGAGATCCTGTCACACAGAGACATGACTGGAGATACTGTCATACAGAGACATGACTGGAGATACTGTCACACAGAGACATGACTGGAGATCCTGTCAGACAGAGACATGACTAGAGATCCGGTCACATGGAGACATGACTAGAGATACTGTCAGACAGAGACATGACTGGAGATCCTGTCACACAGAGACATGACTGGAGATACTGTCATACAGAGACATGACTGGAGATACTGTCACACAGAGACATGACTGGAGATCCTGTCAGACAGAGACATGACTAGAGATCCGGTCACATGGAGACATGACTAGAGATACTGTCATACAGAGACATGACTAGAGATACTGTCATACAGAGACATGACTAGAGATACTGTCATACAGAGACATGACTAGAGATACTGTCACATTGAGACATGACTAGAGATACTGTCACACAGAGACATGACTGGAGATACTGTCATACAGAGACATGACTGGAGATGCTGTCAGACAGAGACATGACTGGAGATACTGTCATACAGAGACATGAGTAGAGATCCTGTCACATGGAGACATGACTGGAGATCCTGTCATGCAGAGACATGACTAGAGATACTGTCATACAGAGACATGACTAGAGATACTGTCATACAGAGACATGACTAGAGATACTGTCACACAGAGACATGACTGGAGATACTGTCACATACAGACATGACTGGAGATACTGTCATACAGAGACATGACTAATTATACTGTCACACAGAGACATGGAGATACTGTCACACACAGACATGACTGGAGACATCACACAGAGACATGACTGGAGATACTGTCAGAGACATGACTAGAGATACTGTCATACAGACACATGACTAGAGATACTGTCATACAGACACATGACTAGAGATCCTGTCATGCAGAGACATGACTGGAGATACTGTCATACAGAGACATGACTGGAGATACTGTCATACAGAGACATGACTGGAGATCCTGTCATACAGAGACATGACTGGAGATCCTGTCATGCAGAGACATGACTAGAGATCCTGTCATGCAGAGACATGACTAGAGATCCTGTCATGCAGAGACATGACTAGAGATACTGTCATACAGAGACATGACTGGAGATACTGTCATACAGAGACATGACTGGAGATCCAGTCATACAGAGACATGACTGGAGATCCTGTCATGCAGAGACATGACTAGAGATACTGTCACACAGAGACATGACTGGAGATACTGTCACACACAGACATGACTGGAGATACTGTCATACAGAGACATGACTGGAGATACTGTCACACAGAGACATGACTGGAGATACTGTCATACAGAGACATGACTGGAGATACTGTCATACAGAGACATGACTAGAGATACTGTCATACAGAGACATGACTAGAGATCCTGTCATGCAGAGACATGACTAGAGATCCTGTCATGCAGAGACATGACTAGAGATCCTGTCATGCAGAGACATGACTAGAGATACTGTCACACAGAGACATGACTGGAGATACTGTCATACAGAGACATGACTGGAGATCCTGTCATACAGAGACATGACTGGAGATACTGTCATACAGAGACATGACTGGAGATCCAGTCATACAGAGACATGACTGGAGATCCTGTCATGCAGAGACATGACTAGAGATACTGTCACACAGAGACATGACTGGAAAATGGGTACCCGGTGGGATAAGTCATGTGACTCTTAACCTTCCAGCGCCTCACAGGTAGCTTGGCTTATCCGGGGTAATGATAATCAGATTGTGCTGCGCATTGATTGCTAGCGCTATGAGTGAATGGTGTTCAGCGCATTATAAATGCACGTATTACAATTATCATTAATGCTGGAACATTTTGTAACAGACTTTTCGTGTTTCAGAAATGGGCGTGTGTGCCGGTGACTTCACTTCCGTCAACCAACACAGTGACATATGGATGGCGTACAACGTCCTCCTTACTGCTCTCCTGCCTTGCGCAGTAGCCCTTCTTTGCGGCAGCGCCATCTGTATTCGCGAGTTCCGGTTAGGAGGCGCTGTGGACAAAGCTTCACTTCGTGATGATCTACACTTTTCTAAAGCGTTGACGCTTGTTTCGTGGCTATCTTTTGGAACTCATCTTGCGTTCATTGTTATCAATATTTTATTTGCCAGAGGGACACACTTCTCCCCTACGACATTGCTAGGTATGACGTATCTTGTTCATATTAACCGATTGTCTCTGTATATCATCTGGTGCATGGTGGATGGGACGCCCTTCATTATCATCCGGAAAATTGGATGTAACATTCTGCGCGTGTGCACAACGGCAAATGGAGTATTCAAATCGGAGAGTAATACAAGCAGATCTTTTAATTCTCAAGCAGCAACACCAGTGTCGGTGTGACCAATCTTATCTCTAAACACCACCCGTCCCCTCTACTTCCCCCTGTCCCATCGAACCTCGGACTCCTCTCGCGCAAGAATAGACACATAAACAAAACACACACGCACACACGAACACACGCACCACACTCTTCCAAGTGATGTGATCTTGGCACTGGTGACGCAGTTCTCTAAGGCAACGCAACGTCGAGTTGCGTCCCTTTGACGAGCCAGAAACCTATGCCTGTTTGCTCAAATCACATATTCGCCCTGATTGTTCGACTCGGCCTGTCAGCACCAGACACGGGCTGTCACCAAAATGAAGTCCAAAACCTTCTGAACTTCTTTAACTACTGCCCCAAACTCCAAACCCCAAACCTTACCGCCTCGCATTCCCTCAGTCTTTCCGTACCATGAATATAAAACACATTTAATGAAGTCACACATTGTACTCTCAAACATACTGCATATTTACACACCTTGATATAACTGTGATCAACTGTCAAGTTGACGGGCCCAATGTTGCCTGTGGATCGTCAAACGCCATAGTCAATGACGTTACCGGTGTTAAAACTAATCACGATGAAGAAGCAGTGTTGTGAACGCTGATCGAAAGCTCTGTGATGTTTGATTCTTGCTCAACGCTCAGTCATTGTGGGGATTGTGACGCAGATTGTGTTTATTTTCAATGCCAGGGCTGGACGAGATTGTAAAGTAATCATGTAAAGTCCCTCAGAGTTAATTACAGCCCTCTGAGAACGTGCGGTTGTCGAGTTGATCGCATGGTTTCGTTAAGATAAGACAGACTACGTCTAATGAAATCAATGCTACAGACATATTACGATCGCATACATCTTTGCAACTTGTTTCAAAGCGAAGTTGCAAACAATACAAGTTCATGTGTTTTCTTCTTAATGTAATAAAATATAATTTTTTGTTATCCTGCAGAATATATTTCGCACCAACGTGTTACGAACCAGTCATTCGGATCCAGTCGACTTATTCCGTCGCCTACGCTATATCTTGAGCAGCAGTGGAATGCATGATTATATTTCACTGTAAACCACATACGGGGCCTGCTAATCCCCCTATACTTTCTTTCAAAAGACGTCCGGTTTTCAGAAAAGTATTTGACTTAAACGCATGTATTGATTATTTTACGAAAAATACATAGTACTTTGAGATCGAAAAACATTTCCGCGACTGTCGCATGAGCTCATTGTGTAAGATGGCAGACAGAACCATGAACGAGCGAAACCAGTAAAGTGTTCTTTCTCATCAATGCAGGGAGAGATTGTTACCTACGTACATGTTCATATGTAACCCTGATGATATTTCCTCTTCTAGCAGTTCCAATGAGTAAAGACCGCCTCCGTGGTGTAGTGGTTAGAGCGTCCGCCCAGAGAGCGGAAGTTCGTGGGTTCGGTCCCCGACCAAGTCATACCAAAAGACGTTAAAATATGGTACTTGTTGGTCCCTGCCTGATGCTCGGCATTAAGGGTACAACAAGGACTGGTCGGCTTGGAGTCAGTATAATGTGTCTGAGTGGGGTATTCATGCTTCACTGCGGCATGGTATCTCAGTGGGCTAGCACTATAAAACCAGCTTAAGTCTGGGCTAGTACAAGCAGCCGCACATACACATACACACCCATGCACGCCGTCATATGAGCGAAATATTCTCAAGTACGACGTAAAACCCAATTTCACCTCACCTCACCTCCAATGAGTAAAGCCAAGTGTCTGGTGGTGCTGAAATGAAATACATTCCTGAATTTGTCCGCCAGATGTGCTAAATAGTTTTTAGCTGTGGCGATACGACGGTTTGTAGAAGCAGTAAATCAGCGTGTCTGGGGATTCAGTACCAATTACCATCTCGTTGCCATGGATTCTGGTACAGCGTTTCTGACGCATGCACCTGCCAGTGTGCATTTAACCTCAACAGGTGCTTGCAGATAAATCACTGGAACCTGAACGGACGTAGGTATACAGTAACATTAATCTAAGAACTCACATACTCGTTTACCTCATCCATCAAATGACTTGAATCTTGTCATGATCTATACGTGAACATTAAATCGGTTAGTTTGAACAATGCATGCACAAAGGAAGCGAACCTAACTATGGACCTAACTACAGAGAGGCTGTAAGATGCTGCAGGTATGTTAAGCGTCTGATAAATCTGAGGCTATCCAGTACATCTTTGTAAGCTGTAACGAAGCCTGTCCAATGTGGCAAGCTTGTATACAAGGTGGTAAGGTTATAGATAGCTGTTGGGTTGGGCTTTCGTCAAGAACCCGCGCATATCCGGGTTAGAATTGATCTTCAGCAACCCATGTTTGTCGTTAAAGACGACTAACGGGTTCGGGTGGTCAGACTCGATGACTTGCTTGGCATGTGTCATTGTATCCCAATTGCGTAGATCGATGCTCATGCTGTTGATCACTGGAGTGTCTGGTCCAGACTCGATTATTTACAGATCGCTGTCATATAGCTGGGGTATTGCTGAGTGCGGCGTTACCAACCATCCAACCAACCAACCAACCAATCGTACACCCATGTGTTTTGGTGGCTAAGTATGAAGCAACCAAGAGACGGTCATACGATGGCGTTCATTAGGATAACATGGTTGTGGTTTGGACCTTTGCATTGTTTCGGAGACCGTTTTCGGCCTCATAGCGTTTTTGTAACGTTCGTCATCTTCTGGCCAAACCCAAAGTTAATATTTTTCTAAACTTTATTATACGTGTGGTAAGCACGTAGATCCTGGTATTAATTGTATCAGTCAATCTTTCCCGATGAGCAGCCTGGTCAGGACATACACCTATGTAGAATCAAGGTATTACTAAATACCGTTCAATGCAGCGGAACACCGACTTCAACCACTAACCATTTCTGGCAAGACTGTTGTTTTTGACGTTCGTAATTATTCAAGCACGAATGGACATTTAATTGTCCAGTTTCCACAAGCACCATGTTATTGAGAAAAACTCACAGACCCAAAATAACACTTGACCAAAACACATTGCATTGAATTTCAGTTCTCTAAAAACCCAAATGTTATAAAAAACACTTTAGACATGTATGTGTGACCCAAAACGCGTTCTAGTAGTTAATGTACACGGAACTGTAAGCAGCGCCCAGGATGATCGCTCGATGACAACCTTTATTAGTTTGTGTTGCCTGGTTTAGTTTTGACAGGTGACAAGTTTATTCTGTGATAAGGTCTCGTGGCCAAAAGCACATGAAAGAACGTTTACATTTCAACAGTGTACGCATGACAGCTCATGTTGGTAGATTTCTTTTCAAGTATATGGACAGAATTTCATATGTTCGGGATTGTTAGATGCTAAAAGTTGATGCATATTTTACCCTTGTAGGACACGTGAAATAATATAAGTTGCTCTCTTAGATGCTTATCATATGGACAAACTAATACGAAGTGATACTCATCTTCTACAACACTCATAGTACAATTAGATCATAAAGTTGGTCAGTATCAATATCATTATCGTACCTTAAGTTACACATCTTTAATTTGTGTGACTTGAATATAAATTTACAAAATATTCGCAATAAATCTGTATGACTATACAATTCTATGACATATCGTTCTGTGTCTAACAAAGATTTAAATAAAAGAATTAAAGGAGAAATCACTTCTTCCTGATAGCCTACCATGCCAATCCTGGAATTGTATATCCTTACATCGTGTCGAAAAGGTATGCATAAATATATCATAATTGCCAAAATAATGGGATATCCAAACATAAGAAAACCCCATTGAAAACAATAACATACGAACCTCTGTTACCCAATATGCTTTACCATTAGTACTATACAACTTTGGTACTTCGTAACACGCTTTAGGAATACGACCTGGTTGCATACAAAGAAGCCTGCACCATTAACCGACACAGCGACTGAAATAACTGGATATCACCCAACATCGCCCAATACAACACGGGTTGGTGTAAAGTTAGAAATATTCAAACACCTTTTAAAGAATACACTTTGAACTTTCTCAATATCTCCTCTATAAGTGAAACCCTATATTTCCGAACCATATAATAATATTGGCATTATTTTGGTATCAAATCTGAACTACTCCAAATGGGAGTGAAGGATAAACTTTAATTAATTTAACAAAGCCTTCCTAGCCTGAACTGAAGAGTTTCACAAGCCTCAGACCAAACTAATCTTGAGGAAAATACAATACCAAGATATTTGTAGTAAGTGACTATCTTAACCCCTTTACCCGATTTACCTGGTTTATTAACTGTTGCGAAAGAATCACTGATTCTTACACCAGAATGCCTTTACAAGTAGCGGTTTCAATAAATTTAATCTGCATTGCAGTTATAAACTGCAGTGCTGGAAATTGCTATGCTCGCATTTCAACAATATGAGTTACCATAAAGGTTAACTTCCAGTGTACGATACTTTAAGACTCTCTTCCTCAGCTATACAAACATGAAGGTATTGAGCAGCTCAATTGCCTTTCCTCTTAACACACTTTGATACATTGACTCGGAGACCTAATCTTACCGGTTTTCAACTACGGAACCTGATTTACGTTGTAATGCATTGCATTCCCTGAAGGCAGTGATGGAACAGGGTTGTGAAGAGTCATCGATTCTTCGTGGAGGGATGAAGGTGGAAGAGAAAGGGATGTTTGAGGTGTGGAGATTGGAGTGGAGGGTGGTGGAGGGAGGATCTACAATTCAAAACCATGCTAATCCCTGAATGTCATTTTGAATGAGTTCTACGCCACTTTGAACAATATTTGGGTTGTATCATGTTCGTCTCATGGACAGGCAGAGACCCTTGATTGGGTGTTGGATTTTCGGGACCATAAACGACTAGCAGACCATACTTCCAATTTCCTGAAACCACTTGGGACTGTTCTTCAGATCTATACATACAGGCATTCTCTGTTTATTGACTGTAGCTAAACTGAAACCCCAGACAGATAAACGAGCATTGATTAACGTCATGATGAAGCTGAAGTTAAATTACATTTGTGACGTCATTCCATTGTCTGTTCGCTCCATTACTTTTCAGGAATGGAGCGATGTGTACCAGTTTCAAAATAAAACCTTCATTTTGTCATTTTGACATTTAATTTTGATAACAGAAATATTCCCAATATTTCGAATGTAATTTAAGTAGGGTAATATCTCAATCTCTCCATTCCTCAAAATAATCTCGGCCTCGTAACATTAACTCGGACATTACCCTCTACGTAAAATGGATTGTTTGGTTACGAGCGGCATGTGAAACCTTGATCTTGAAGACACTAAAACCTTACCACTTTGGCAAGTCTTGGAAAACTATTACCTTCCGATTGATTGAATTATTGATCGATATCATGACTGTAATGAGTGGTAGCTCAGGAATCACGTACTTGGAGCAATGGGTGTATGTCCCCTCTTCATAGGTGTCACGACCCAGTCGTCGCAAATCGCTATGAAGAGTTGCGTCCCTTGGACACGCTAGAAACCCATGGTCGTAATTGTGAATCCCGTGTGTAATTTTTTCAGCAACAGCTCTGTGCTTGAGTGTTCCACACATTTAGCAAATGTCTGAGACCTGCATTGTTTTATTCCTTCCCCCCCTTCAAGCTGACACACCGTGACATAATTGGACTACTATTCAATGCGGCGTTAAACCCAACTGCCCTCACTCACTCATAAACGTCTGACCAGTGTGATACATAAGGAAAGAAACTGAGGATAAGCCACAATAAGCCATTGATAAGTCATGAACCTATGCGAAATACCAAAATGACAGTTTGATTATGAAGAGCCAAAGAAATAAATTAGCCAAAAAGGTAACTGACAGAATATGTCAATGGTCAATGCCCATATTTCTTTGGCCAGGGCTTATAACGGTTCTGCTCCCATACTGGTTTGGAGCAGCAGCTAAATAATATACCCTT